ACCTTGATATCAATCGAAACAACCTCGATGGACCGAGCATCTTTCAGACTCTTATCTCCTGAACGAAATCTGACAAAATATTCTTGAACAGTACGTTATGTTAAGGCGTAGTCCACGTATAACTTACATATCTTTCAGTTGACCTCCGAAGTTCGCCTTGCATTTTTTCAATAAAAAAGTAAAAAAAGTGCTTTATCATTTGACATATTTATTACGTTGTAGCACAAACAAAACTAATGCCAATGAAGCCAAACAGAAAAGTTTCGAAGAGCAGACTTTGATTTCTTTTGGAGGAGACAACCAATTATTAGTCTAAAAGAAAGATGTAGCTCTAGATGTTATATGCATAGATTTTTAAGCCTTGCATCCACAAGATCATTGGGATTGTGGTTCTGAATATGGGAGTAAATATCCCGAAACGTAAACTTGTTAACATGTAACTTTGATAATACAAGAAATACATTCAATTGTTGCTAATTGGAAGTAATTATTGCCAAATAACAGATTTTGACGTTTCCGATAAGTATTATTATTATCAGATAAGGCAACAAGAACTGGATATATTTGAAAACGATTCGCACTATTAACAAAAACCGAACGAACTTATGGATCCACCCAATATATTTAACAAAAAAAAGAAAAAAAGCTTTTGGGTTGAATCTTCTACCCCTAAAAAAAATTAAATCCTGGATCAGTTAGTGCTGGGAAGGATGTAAAGAGGTTAGAGGAACCAATCATAATGGCTTTGTTCTTCTTGGCATCTAGGGTAAGCTTATTGCTAGAGGCCCAAGAGCTAATTCCGTTGATGTCTTCATTAACATTTCGTCCTGTTGTTACTGAACTAGAGGAATCAGCAGGATCAAGGGAAAGATAAATTTGTACATTATCGGCATGTAGATAATACTAGGAATGCTGGATGGAGAGTGAGAGGACATTAATGAAGAAAGGGAAATAGGTAGAGAATTAGAAGGAGTATTATTCTTTATAACAACGCGTAGGGTACGACCGGTGAGTTTTTTTTTTAATAATCTATTTAATGAATAATAATACAATCAGCCACTGCTGGAGGGCTATAAGTATTAGGGCTAAAAGTTCTCATTCATACAATATATACAAATAATAGAGAAATAAATATAAATATAAAAAGTAGATAAATAATACTGATGAAGAAAGTAAATAAAAGAAAAAAAAGTAAACAAATAACATAAAATAGAAACTTCTAAACACAATCATACCTATATACAATATATAAATTCGCCCAAGAATCTCCGAGCCAGACTTTTTCCCCACATGTGGAAGGCAAAGCAAAACTCCAGGAGATCCCAGTGCCACTTTTCCAGCCGCATCACTAGTATTAGAAGCCAGTGGAGGCTGAAGGAGGGCACTAGAGCCACAGACGCTCAGGACTTGAATGGAGAAGCTGGCCATTGCCAGTACTCCAGAAGCATATTTATAAGAGATCTCTGGGCCACTGCCGTTTTATCCTTCGTGGAGGATTGTAGGGATGAAGGGAGCTGGATAGGGATTGAGCTAGAGGATTTGGATGATGAATAAGGTTCTGGTGAAAGTTTGAGAATCTGGATGGGATGATGTCGAGGACAAATGGGATGTTAAGGTCATGGTGTAGGGTCTTATTTGTGACATAATATGGGGCATTGACTATTGTTCTAAGTACCTTGGACTGGAAGGATTGGATGCGTTTGATATTCGAATGTTTAGCAGTTCCCCACAGTTCAAATCCGTAGGTCCAGATAGGTTTCAGTATTGTCTTGTAGTTAAAAAGTTTATTTTCAAGATCGAAAGATGAGATGTCCTACTTAAGACCGGTGAGTAAGGAACGGAACCACCCCAGGGCCAAGTCAAGGAGAATAAGAATGAGCTTCTGCTAGACTAGAGCTGTTTGGAGATCTTGAAAAATGGGGACAGACTGAGTGGAATAGCCGAGTCGGAAACCAAACTGGAGCGGTTTAGAAGGCTGTTCTATTCTAAAAAGTGGAGTAGCTGGGATTTATCTAGTCCCTCTAAAGTTTTGGAGAAGTTTTAAAGGAGGAAAATTGGTCGGAAATCATCAAAAGTTGATGGGTCGGAGGTCTTCTTCAAGGGGCGAACTAGAGCTGTTTTCCAGGATATTAGTCCAGTCGACCGGAAATGGCGGGGACATAATTTTTGACTCTGGGACATTGTTCGGACTAGTAAGGAGGTAAGCATACTATAAGTCTCCATTCCTAGGTGGTGAACCAGATTCGTTTTTATGTACATATCTACGTAGAGAGTTGGATCAATATTTTTTTCTACAGATTCTTGGAATTTACATATAAAGTTATAATTAATCTACCTTATAAACCGTGGAAGATAAACTAGTAAAATAACACGTATTATTGAAGAAAATTTAAATATTAAAACTTGTTTTCTCATAACTTAATCGTATAACGAAGTAATCAAGTATAGGCTAGTCAAATGCAGTAAAAAACATGAAGTAATTTTTTTTTTATTACGATGAGAGGAAGATATTTCCGAAGTTTCGGGCGGATATTAGTAATTTGATAAAAAGGTGTCTATAACACGGACTTTCCTAAAAGTACTTTTTAAAAAAAAAATATTTTTTTTTTATCACTTTCAAATTATAGAATAGAATAGAATAGAAAATAGAACTTTATTCTGGGACTAAGTCCCCGTAGAATAACAAAGATGAATTAATACAAAATAAAATACCAATCTGGCCAAAAACTAACTTTAAAAAATTCTAACGTAATATACATTATTTAAAAAGTAGTATGTAACCACTAAGAAATAAAAAAAAAATATATATATATACACACATATATATATATATATATATATATATATATATATATACACGCACATATATATACATACACACACATAAACATATATATACATACATGCACATACATACATACATATATAAACGAACATACAATCTTTTCCAAATTTACTTATTATTACGATAAAAAAAAAAAAAAAAAAAAAAAAGACAGAAAAGAGATTACATATCTATATATACATAACTGCACAATTTATAAATAATAGCTATCTAATAGAAACATAATTTAATACAAAATGTAATAATATTTACAGTGATTCATAAAATAATAAGCAAACACTAAGATAAAATAAAATCTCAGGAATAATTGTGGTATAAAGGTAAAAAAGGAACTATATATACGTACTTACTCATATTGCTACACAGTGAGACAAAAAGTATAAAATATAAACTTATATAAACATGAAAGAAAAAGCACAACCTGAGGTGAAGAGAAATACAAATAAATAGTAAAAAATCATTGCTGTTTTATGTTGAAACTTAAACTGTAGGCACCACCATTTACTTCTCACAAATTCAGTTAATAAAATGAAATTTATGGTTGCGAATCGTCTGTTTGGGATGTGAGGAGATATTGGAAAAGGAGGTATTTGAAGGTTGACAGTGAAGAAGCATGACGGATGTTATATGGCAAAGAATTCCAATAGGTGACGGAGCGGGCTAAGAAGACTAATTATATGTGCCAAGATTATATTTCAATGCCTTGTTTCAATGCAATCGAAGATTATTGAAGTAAAACATTAATAAAACAAATCATAGGCGAAAATAACTAGATAAAAACAAATAAAGAAGACAAATTTCAAGGTAATGGATAAGTTCGATAAAAATCAACATAAAAAATCAATCAAGATAAATGAATAGCAGAATTTTAAAATAACTAAAAGAAAATTTGACTCATTTATGGAATACTTACAAACACATATGGGATAACCTTGGCAATTTATGATAATACTAATTAATAGGTAATGATAAAAATAAAAATATGAATCCGTTACTTGTCGGAAGAAAGTGGTTTAATAAACGTAACATTTCCGTAAATTTATGGATGGAGGATACTATTGTTATAATTATGCCGTTTCTTATATTTTAAGTATGCAAAAAAGAGTCGTTCCTACATTAATATGTGTTTTGCCAACACTCTAATAGTTTCCGACCACGCGTGCTTATTAAGAGGGATCTCTATTTGCCAAGTTCGTCATGCAACCAAGAGATATTCTTGTTGGGTCTAAATGAATAGGTACTGTTATTAATAGTTTAAGATCTCATTATTGCCTCAGTTAATGATGAATTGAGGCATTTCAAATGCCGAAAATTCCTAAATACCTGAGGGCTGTATTTCACTTCTCCATCAAGCTGTGTGCAGCATTTTAGTGTTTTGAATTCCTTCTACATAGACTCAGTCCCATTATTAGCACATAAATCAAATCTGATATGATTATGATCGGAACACAATTCTACGCCGAAACATGCTAGCTCTCCGATATTCGATATCACGTAGCGCGTGCCTAAAGTTATGTCAATGACTTCGCAGCCAGCTCTATTAGCAAATGTAGCCTCATTACACTTATTAAAAGTTTCAAATTCATGGCTTATTATATAATCTAAAAGAGACTCACCTTTAGTGTTAGTGTTCCCCAACGGCTATGGAGTACATGTTGGCATTTAATGATACTATTAATCCTGAGCGACACAGTAATGAAGTCCTCATCATAATGACAGAAGAAACTCTATTTTTCTCTGCATACTTGAGACAAACAGAAAATCTCTTGACTGGAAAGACAGAACTGATGAAATTACTGCACCTTAAAGCCTCCGAACATTAAAGTGACATTTGATTTGAAAATGACCGATTTAGTTCGTATGCATGTGAACTAACCTCAACCTAAAGGTTTGATTATAAAAAAAATAAGTTCTTTTTTTTAATTAAGAAGCGTGAATGTTCCTTGGTTAAAAGAACAGTGTAAGATATGGTTAAATCTGTTTTAGACTTGAAGGCCTTTAAACTTGAAAATTAAATATCAACTAGAACTAAATTTTTCCTATTTATCACATTTTCTTTTAACATATGTTGTTGAAAAATGCATGGTTAGGTTATGTTTTGATTTATTCTCTTTATCATTTATTGTATAATTTTAATAAAGTTGGCTCACTTAATAGGCTACCTGAGCATGGTGATGGCCGGCGTGTCGATGACATGGCCATCTCCACTGACCGCCTGGTACTACTCCAAGGACAGCGAGGTACCAATGACAGAACACGAGGTATCCTGGATGGTGTCGATTGTGGCTATCGGAGCGGGAGTAGCATCTATACCATGTGGAATGCTTGCTGATGTGTAAGGTCCATTAATGATTTAAATTGCTAACTGCTTCTTATCATGACTCAATGTTAACACTTCAGATATTCGCAAATTCGCGAGGGACTTTCTGCTCTCTCATTATATTTTGAAGAGGAGAAAGCCCTCAATATTTTACAATCATTTACTTAAAATACACGGACAGGCCAAAAAATCCACCCTCTTGACTTTTTTTTGTTTTCATCTAAAAATATTTTTGCTTTGGATTGGTCTATTGTTTTTAATGAATAAATAGGTAATCTTTTTGTTTGTTTTCAATTAAGAATGTTAATATAGAGAACAATAACCCTTAGTCATTAATTCAATGAAATGATTCTAGATTCCAATGTTTACTTTCTATGGAATCAAAATGTTTATTCAGTATCATTATTTCAGTGCCGTTTCTTGCAGCACATATCTTAGTCCCCGGCTTTTAATTTTTTCAATATTAAGTTTAAAAATGCCTCTTAGTGTTGAGGATGTTGCGCGCGGTGTGCACTTTTTGATAATGGACGTTCCATTAGATATGCACCCAATGCCATCGGAGTTTCTTATGAAACTTTACGAGACGCCGTCAGGCGTTTTCGGGAAACTGGTTCTTACAATAGAAGGCCCAGTTCTGGACGACCTGTTTTTGGCTTTGAGAATTTTACGAAACCGGCACCTTACCGTTGTTCAAGCGATTCATCACCTCGAAGAAGTTCGAGGTGTGCAAATTTTTGAACGTACCGCTCGGAGAAGATTAAATGAGTATGGATTAATGGATTTTCGTCCAGTAAGAGAACCAGAGTTGACCAGTACTCACAGAGTAACACGGCTGGCTTTTGCTCGAGAACACAGCCATTGGACTATGGACGAATGGAGTGCTGTACTTTTTACAGATGAGTCAAGATTCGCTCTTCGATCTCCAGACGGGCATGAAAGGGTGTGGAGAAGAAGGAACGAAAGATATGCAGCCTGTAATGTTTCCCAGAGCCAACCTTTCCAACGTAGTTCCTTAATGGTGTGGGCTGGGATTTCAATTGAGCGCCGGACAAAATTGGTTGTTGTTCTTGGACGATCTTTGACGGCCATTCGCTATGTAGATAAGATTTTGGAACCTCATGTGTTGCCTATTCTCAACGAAATCGGCGATCGTTCTATTCTAATGCACGCCCACATGTCGCCCGCATAGTGCAGACGTTCCTACAACAGAACAATATTGTGGTTTTAGCCTGGCCAGCACGTTCTCCAGATTTGAACCCCATTGAGCATTTATGGGATAACTTCGGAAGACGAATAAGAGCGCGTGCAACACTTCCTGATACACTGCAGGACCTTGAAAGGGAGGAATGGGCTATCCTCCAGCAAAGGGAAATTTCCCGTCTGGTGGAAAGTATGCCGAGGCGTCTTCAAGAAATAGTGAAGGCAAGAGGAGGAAACAAGTGCTACTAAACGATGATGTAATTGATTTCTTTTAGAATAATAATGGTTCGTTTTGGAATCTTGGAAACATTGGTATCTAGAATCATTTCATTCAATTAAGGATTAAGAGTTATTGTCCTCTATATTAACATTCCTAATTGAAAACAAACAAAAAGATTACCTATTTATTCATTAAAAACAATAGACCAATCCAAAACAGAAATATTTTTAGATGAAAAAATCAAGCGGGTGGAATTTTTTGCCTGTCAGTGTAGCTTACGAAAATTTCAATAAACCGTATGGCTAATAATTATATCATATTACAGGTAGTAAACTGATTACAAAGCTTAGGAGAACAATTAATTTTAGTCTTCTAATAAAGCAACAGGATCAAAGACATCTCAAATGAAATACCATTAAATTATTACATGATATAAAACAGACTCTCCCCTACCCCCCTCTCTCCCCATTGAGCTGTAAAAAGTCCAAAAAACAGTTATTTAAAGAAAAGAGAAATGTAGAGAAAATTCATCTCCATACATGAATTTCCTAATGTAATATAAAAAAATATATATTATCATGACCAGCACTGGCGAATTCATCCAAAAAAAAATTGAAAAAGGTGACAAAAACACCTTTTTAAAGGAAAGAGAAATGTAGGAAAAATTATCCCTATAGACGAATTTTCTGATGTAATATAAAAAAAAAAGTTATTATCATGACTAGCACTAGTGATTTCTTTCAGGGTGCGCGTCCCCCTCTGGATGTTAGGAAAAAAATTCCGAATTAAAATATCCAGAAAAACATCTATTTAAAGAAAAGAGTGATGTAGATTTTGGACCGCCGTGAGATGCGAAGGCTTTTGCTCCTTTCGCAGTTTGTTCCTGTTGACTCCGAACTGAGTCTCGCAGGTGAAATACATGATGGAGGAAAATTTATTAAAAACTTCATTTATTCTTTTGAACTGCCTTTTTTTCGAGTTTCAATAGATCTGAACGCATTGCAACCTTTAACAAATATAATCTCCTTGAAGAATCAATGCGAATCATAAAACTGGTCACGATAATAATTTGTATATTTCTCATTAGAAAGTATTGTTCTTTTATTAAAATAGCTGCTGTTGGGAATGTTTTCATGAAAGAATGTACTAATTATTTGGTCGCCGATTTGATCGGAATCTGATTATAATCGGAACCGGAAATTATTCTGAGTTTTTTTTTTTTCTTAGAGAACTCATTTCCAAGCTGCAGGGCCATTTATCGTAATCTTTCTCAAATTTTGACAATATCGGTAAAAATTATCGCTCATTGACCGTGGTTATCGGCCATATCGCTTAATCAAATTATTAAGTTTAGGTTCTCGTTCAACTCACAATTTGAGGTTTTTTAATTTCTTAAAGAATACGTTTTTCGTTTCGATGCACTTTTTACTATTAATACATGAAAAAAAAAGATCAGATAAATCTGGCAATTTCGGCTGTAAAAAGTTTTCTCTTGGGGACCCGTGTTAGCAATTTAGTTTTTTGCATGTCTAAATTCATATACAAGGTGTCTCGTAAGTAGAGGGAAATATTTAAATGAGTGATAGCAAAACTCAAATACAAAAAAGTTTATTTAAAGAATGGTTCGATTTTTAGCAGGAAAGTAGGGAATTAAAGGTTTGTAATTTTTTATGTGTCACGTTTTTTTTTTAATAGGAGGTGATATTAAAAAAATTAAATTAAGTAATTAATGGATAGCTTCACTGAAAACTAGTCAAAATTTACTCTAAATAAAAATATAGTTTACTTTTATTAAAACCATTTAAAGAGGACTTTTGAGCGGCTAAACTCAGCTAAGGAGTGGGGGGAATGGGTAGTGGTGGGGGAACGAATAGGGGTGGGGGAAGCACGTGGTACAGATTTTCTCCTCCCCCTCCCCCCCGCCCCTCTGAGATAATTCCTGGATCCGCCACTGAAAGACACTGCTAACCTCGGTCCTCCATAATATTTCCAAAGTTGTAGATATAGATTCAATGGTAGACGACTGTCCACATTTCAAATATACTTTAGCCTACAGCTTATCAGTTTATTTTAACAGGACAACAAATGTGCCATCCGACTCCCTGGCCAATAGTACCTAAGCAACCCATTTTCTAACGAAATTATTTTATTTTCTATTTCAGATTCGGTCGGAAAACTATCCTTCTTGCGACGGGGATCACATCAGCGATCAGCTGGCTCTTGATCATGATGACCAGATCCAAATGGGCGCTGTACGTCGCTCAGGTCCTGGGCGGTATAGTCCTGGGTGGAGCGCCCAGTGTTGCTCCCATCTACATCTCGGAAATCTCACCACCCCAAATCAGAGGAGCCATCGTCGGCCAGCTCAACACCATGTTCTTCGTCGGCCAACTGCTGGTCTATGCTGTCGGGCCCCTACTTTCCTACACTAATTACATAAGGGTCTGCTCATCCATACCGATATTCTTCTTCATCTTCTTTGGGTTCGCCCCTGAGTCACCTTACTACCTGATGAGCAAGGGACGAGACGAGGAAGCCAAGGATTGCATGACCAAGTTGCGTGGTAAGGATTCCTTAGCGGAGCTGGAATTGGCCAAGAAAGAGTCATTGGAGAAGACATCGGTGGAAAAAACCTCGATATGGGAAATGTTGAAGACAGAAAATCATATAAAGAATATGATATGCCTTCAGGTAATTAGTTAAATTCAGCATTTAGTCTTATCTAATTTCTTTTCAGATCCAATATTTATAACTTATAGTTATCAGTTACTTAAAATGAACCATTAAGTAAATATACTATAATAAATTACTTATATCCAAATACAAGTTACATCAAATATGTACTTACTATTAATATCCAACTTCTTGAAACTTTATTTACACATTAATAGTTACATTCAACCTGTAATAGTTATATTTAATAAATAAATCTTGGTCTAGCAACAGGTCGCTTTCCTATTGGCGTTGCATCCATCAACCAGTGAGCCTTTCCTGTCTTATAACCTGGCCAAACCATTTCAGTTGCCGCTCCTCAAGGATTTCAATATCAGATTTTATTCCCAATTTGGCACGGGTGTTGTTATTTCTTACTAAGTACTATCTGGTTTTACTTACTTAATTTTTTTTAATTTTCTTCAGTACCGACCAACTTTACCCCTGCCTCCCCTATACACAAAAATTTTCTACGCAAAGTAAGCTTAGTTTTGTCTTTTGGCTAATTTGCCAATCAATACTCCATTAACCTTTCTTATTCTATTCTGTATCGGACAGCTAATTGTAAGCAATTCATCATCTGTCCTTTCGATAACCTTGCTCTTATCAGAACTTATACTCAAACCTTTCCTTTTCGATTCTTTAAACCACTCATCTATAGGTGTTTGTAGACATTCCAGCCCAACTACAATTACCACTATATCATCTGCATAAATGAAACATTGGACCAGCTCTGGAATCAGGTTTCAATATTCCACAGTAGCTCTATCTATTCACATTATGCATATCTTTCATATCTTGTCCATCAGGATATTGAAAGGAAGGGGACTAAGCCTGTTGCCCTGCTTCGCTCCCTTATAGAATCTAAAAGATGTAGATCTGTTACCATTGAGGTGAATTGTATCGTTAGAGTTCTGATATACTGATTGCATAGGGTTTATCAGATTTGGTGATATATTTTTCACTTCCAAGGCATTCTAAATTTCTCGGTATTGAGCGAGTCAAATGCAGCTTTTAAACCAAGAAATATATCGTTTGTTGGATAAAATATTCTAGAAGTTAACTAAAGAAAAAACTACGTCTTGGGAGGTTCCCAATTTTGATTCTTTCTTTCTGATGGTGACAATTACAATATGTTATGTTCGCTCTTTGCAGATTCTCAGCGGTGTGAGCATGTTCAATGGATCATGTGCTTTGTCGGTGTACGCAGTTGAGTTCTTGGGCGGTCAATGGGTGGCCATTGAGATGGGTGCAGTATTCGTCGTATCTTCCTTCTTGGCCGCATTCCTGGCCGATCCTATAGGGCGGAGGCCACTCCTCGTGTCCTCGTTGATCGGCGCTGCCATTTTCACATCAGTCCTCGCCGCATACTTTATATGCTTCGAGAAGGCTCTTCTCTACGTCGGATTGTTTGGCTTCTGCTTCATCACTTCCGTCGGAATCAACCCCTTCATAATGACTCTGCCTTCCGAGCTGTTCCCAACAAGCCTGCGTGCCTTCGCCAATGGGCTCACCCAGCTCACTACTGGCTTTCTGGGCTTCGTCTGTATAAAGCTTTTCGTAAATATAAACGAAACCTTTGGTGTGACATACAACTTTATTCTCTACACCATCATCTCACTCATCGGCGCTGTGGCAGGCTACCTTCTGCCGGAGACGGCTAAGTCAGTTATAAGTGCCTCTTGAATATTTTTTAAGCATACGAACGTACCTTGAAAAGAGGTTATAATCCTTAAGTCATAACTCAGTATTGCAATTACGAATATTGCCCAACTCATTTTATTATAAGATAGAATAGCGTGTTTATTGTGTATATATTTACGTATTTTAATGAACCATAAGTTTTAGCAATTAAGATGTAAAATTTAAACAAGTACCTGTAAGCAGTGACATTCATAACGATCCTCGTGCTAGATACGTGTTTTGATAGAAATAATTGATATTTTTAATACATTTAATTGGGTCAAAGACCAAGGTTCCTCTCAAAAATTTTTATGTTTGCCACTGCATGTTTAATAATATTCTTTTAACATGTAATTAACTTAGTACAAGACCTGATTAAAACCTTAACTGTCAATAATAGGATTGTATCAGGTGTTTTAAAATGCATGTAAATGTTTAAAAAAAAAATGTTAAACAGTTACTGTTAAAAATTATTGTTCAATGTAGATTCGTTTTTATGTTGGTTGCCTTTTATTGGTGAGAAAGGAGACATCTACCTAATAGATTCAATACACTATGTCGATTCACTGATCTAAAGTCAAAATTGCCAATTTTTAAAAGAGATTTTAGTTAAACTATGTGAAAATACCTCAAAGTGGATTTTAAGGTGATATGACAGTGTATTTCCATAACAAAAAAAAGTAATCCGCAACAGCATTAATGTGATTAAAAAATTGTATAAGAGGGGACTGTGTTGTTAAAAAAATAAAAAATACTTCATATTTCACTAACAAATTTAAATATCATTGTGTCGAGGAGATATGGAGAAGAATGGTCTCAAGTGTACTGTTTCAATATATCTATACCCTATTTCATAAATCAATAAATCCCAATGAAATACATTTTAATTATGTAAAAAATGTCTGTATAATATAAAAACATAAAAATATACAGTTTTGTTTAGCAGTCTGTGACATAGTAAGTATCACCACATGATCACCACCATCCCCTCTACTTTTCTGTAACATAACTTATCATTACAAATGTATATTAGAAAAAATACAATTTTTTTTTCTTTTTACAACTTCATCTACACCAACGAATAACAGCTGAAAATTCTTAAAACCACCTCATTAAGGATTAGCAAATTAATTGGTAAAAAAAAACTTATAACTGCATATAAACATATTTGAAACTACTGTTCTCTCCGAACTTCATTTTAACAATAGTTATTTATATGGAAACTTTTGATAAGACAAATTGTTTTCATTTTATAAGAAATATTCAATTTAATTGATTTGAATAAATTCCGAATTAAAGTTCTTTATACTGAGATAAACAAGCATATGAGTGGTTTCCATATTAATGCCAGATATCTGTCATTTTCAGAAAGTATAGAAAGAGTCGATGTTTGTTTTATAGTTTCAACCCAAACAGTTTCCGATGATTTTATTTAAGTATGGTCAGGTTGAATCATGAAAACAAAAAATTGGCTTTTCTCAACTTTTTAAAAATGACAGATGACTGTCTTTGATATGAGGCGACTAATATAAAAATAATTGTTTTCTGCAGAAAATAAAATTGTATATATATATTTTATATTATTTTTTGTCCAGTCATTATGTATATATTTCTATGGCCAATGGTGTATATTTTTTTTTTTAATCAAGGTCTGAAACAGTTATTCACATTTCATTTCAATAGTTTTTTATTATATCACCAAAACCTTTTTTTGTTGTAAAGAACTGTTTTTATATTCAGTTTGTATTTTATATAACTTTTAACAGAACCTTTTATTATGTTTTAGCTTGATTTTTGTTAATTGAAATGTATTTAAATAGTTTATTTTCTTTCTATTACTTCTTCCATAAAGTGAATAAATAATTAACTTAACTACATGACATTTATGAATACTTCATGTGCTTTTTTTTTATAAATAAATACCTTAATGTGCAGTGTGTCAAGAAAGTTCATAATATTTAAGTGTCATAATATTTAATAAATCATCTTAAATATATGACACGAATACTTAATATGATTCTTATAAATAAATACTTAAATGTGCCGTATGTCAAGACAGTTCATATTATTTAAGTTCCTTAATAGTAATAACAGACATGTGTTTAAATTAAATATAATATACTTAATTCATAAGAATAATTCATAACATATAAATGTACCGTTTGAGAAGAAAAAATAAAAATTACTAATAAAGTTTTTTAAATAATTATGAAATGTTACAGTATTTTAATGTTCATTGTTCGAAATTAATATTTATGAGCAGTTTAATTTTTATATTAAATTTTATCCCACACATTTTCAAAATAATAGTTATGATAAAACTTTTGCTTTGGAGTAAATAAAATACATTTTTAAACAAATATTTTTTTAAAATAAAAATGTTTTATTTTATAATAAAACCTTTATTCCGACAAAATAAAAGTAAAAGTAATATATTTTTTTGACCAAAGGTAACAGTATGTTTCATTTCTTATTTAGAAATCCACAAGTTGTTTTAATATTGAAAACATTATATATATAAATGCTTAGCATATGAATCAATGATTTTATAGAGATCTTATATATTTTAAATTATTTCTTACATACATTAATTTTCTTGTTAAAATAGAGACTTATTTCTTTCTATGGAATGCCTGAACTTATTCATACATAAAAAATTTATATAATGAATTACAAATATAAATTGACGCTTATACTTCTTTTCCTGCTACCTCTCCTACCACTTATTAACAATTTTGAAATGGTGTTCTGTCAATTTTCCCATTTTCTCAAATCATTATTGATACACATCTGTTGTTGCTGAACTGAAAATTCTTGAATTCTACTATTTTTCACCATATAATAACTAACACTAACTTCAGGTCTTTGCCCAACAAAATTTTAGAGACAAACGTCCTCTACAATTTTTTTTTTCATATCTGATTATTCTTTAGCTCCCTCAAGCTTAATAATTGAATAGGGCAAATAGTCACTTTTTTTTATTTTATTTGTGGAGTTTTTCAAAATTTCCTTACAAATATTACAATCTTTTTAGATAAAGAAAAGTTTGTTTTTAACTTAATAATTTGTTTATAAACCTTCTTTTATTTACTTTTTATTATTTTTTTATCTCTTCTATTATATTTTTTTTTCTCTTCTATTATTTTTTTTTATCTCTTCACATCTTCAACCGACAGTTTTTTACTATACACTTGATTTCACTGTTTGTTTGTTTTTTGTTTTGTTTTTTTAGTTTAGTTAATAAAATTTATAGTCTATTGAAAACTACTTCATAAAGAATGGAACATTGTTGTCATTTATTTTGTATAAAAGCATATACTAGTTTTATTGTAAATATTAAATTTTCAATGTAATTTAGATTAAAATATACATGCGTATATGATAAAAGTGCACTATTTCTTGTTGACCCTTGTTAAAATTTTATTTGTGATATTGGAACTGTATATTTATTGTTTCGAGAGATCAAAGAATCAAATTGTCAAATATATAATAAAATGAAATTCTTTTACTTAATGTATTTTTTTTTTCTGCTTCAATGGTTTTGTATCCGACATGATTTAAAATTAATAATTTATATAAACTAGAAGACCTTCACAGTGAATTTCAGTTTGTAACACAGATATGAATTAGTTGTTTGAAGATATTAAAAGAAAGGCTTCAAAATATGTAGAACCATTTCAATTTATTCACTCTTATAAGCTACCATCAATAGTTTCAATGTATTATGGAATAGTAAAATGTTTTATATTTATATTAAATCAGTATTGTACTGGATGAACTGTCTTAACTTAAGTATAAGACAAGAAAAGTTACCTCTTTGAATAGAATATTCTCGTATTGGTTCAACAATCAATAAGTTTTAAAAGAAAGATTTTGTTAGTTAAAGTATTGCCCTTTGACATGATCTATATTCTGCAAAAATGAAGAGGTATATATCAATTTGTTCCTTATTTTATTCAATTTAATTAAAATACCCTATTGTTTTTTGTTTATTAGATATTTTCTTATTTAGTTGGTTAACATAAAAAGTAAACAAGTATTCTTTATTTTTAATAAATTAGTTACTAAAAGATAGCCAACATGAAGAATATTCATTTTAACTAAGAGTTATTTTTTACTTTTCTCAATTTGAATTCAGTAATATTCTGTTTAATAAAGGAAAGACATCATATTGAACCAGAAGTTTGCAATATTATCATGAGAATATTGTGGAAGGTCATTGCAGTTTGTTATGTTCAAGAAATTATAAAGAAGTACATTCTCAAACCAGGGCCATAATTGGCACAGATTTCCATTTTCTTGACAAGAATAAGTAACCTCATAGTGGAAAAGTTGTTCATCAATGTCTTGAAAATCTGGACATTTCCCATCTGCCTCTTCCTGTATTGTCTCCACATCTCAATCCTATTTGTAGCTTCTTAATCTTCAGCAACTGGGTAGATAGCAGTATTACCATGTTTATGGTACAAAATTTCTTGTAAAATCAGTGACAACATTATAAACAGTATGCTTAATAGGTGCAGAGAGATAGTGTGTAACATAAGATATTATAAAAATTAATAAAATTTACAAAATGTTTACTATTCGTAACCATTAAACCAATATTACATAAACCTTTTATTTTATTATTTGTTAAAATTACCTTTAATAAAATGTACCGAGGTCAAGTTCAATCTTATTTATATAACATTTTCAAGGTATTTTATGATAATTTTTTTTTTTTTTAACTTTTATTATGATATTTACAACTGCATTAGTATGAATACATCAAGTAAATGTGTACATAGGAATAAATGATAAAAATAAAATAAAAATTTTAGAGAACGTATATCATACATAACTAACAATATTCCTATTTATTTTTGTTCAGTATAGTTTCCCTTGTCTTACATTTAATTTTACATTTTTCTGTGTATTTTGTTTTGTTCAAAATATATAAGCTTCTTTCTTAACCAAGTTTATAAGCTTTATTGTCTACTTTCCTTAATATCATTGAGTTTTCTATTTGAATATAATGTTCAAAAGTTCTTCTCACACCAAATGTGAGTTCCCTATCAAAGGCTTTGCTTTTGCTTTTTCTTATTATGTTTTTCATTGTTGGTTTTCCTTTTAAAACCATTAATTCTACTTCAGGCTAAGGCATAGAAAATTTATTAAATTTCCTACTATGTACTCTCAAGTCTTAAAGAAAGTATGTGAAAAATAAAAAAAGTTTAAATACTCATAACAATAAACTGATAATGAACTCAATAGGGAAAGAGACAATAGAAACACGAAGCCATCTAAAGGGATTAAGTAAAATATGCAAAAAATTATAAAGATCTGGTTAAGTACTACCAGAAATAAGAGCTCATCCTCTAATGATTTCATTTTTCATTCCTCTAATGATGCCCCATTCCATAAAGAGAATAAATTTAAAAGTAATACCGGAAGATTTGGAAATAACCAATTAACAAAAAAAAAAATGACCAAATTGTCTGTAATAATTTTGGGGGCATAACTACACGACATGCTTTAAATTCAATCCAATTTGTTTATGTTAGTTTTTGAGTCACTTTCCTATCAGGAGTTATAAAAAATTATCTGATGAAGATAATTATAATCAATGATTAAACAAAATTTATTACTTCTGTTCATTATTCCTAAAATTGGTGTCTCTGAGGTTTTATTTTTTATATAAATCAGACCATTATACACCAACATTTTGTTTATTAGCTATTTTATTACAACGTTTCGACCATCACTAGGGCTATTTTCAAGTCTTATTGAGTCCTCCATTAGATATTCATTATTAATGTCGTATTAATTTTTTAAGAGTTCGTGGTAAGTATTTAGAGTTTCCCCTGCGTCATTTCTGCCTAATTTATATAACACATAAAAAATGTATTATATAGAATGATGCTAATAAATGAACTCCAATATAAATACATGAACAGTCATTTATTTATTGACTTAAAGTTCATCTTTGCAAGTTCAACAATTATTATTGATAATTCAAAGAATAGATGTTACTTTGGAATAATTGAATAATTTTAAAGCACTTTTTTATTTAAAATGAGACTACTAAAATCTGATATGTCTAATTAAGGTTTGAGATTCAACAACGGTAGGAGTGAGATTCAACTCTCTCTCTCTCAATTTATATAAAATAAAATTCATTGCTATAAATTATGCTTACAAATATAATTAATGGAAAATACAATTCTTTTATCTTGGTATTTAAAAAAAGAAAAATCGCATTGCGTTATTTGTAATTTCTTTTTCTGTACATGTTTTGTTAATTATTTGTCCAAGTGTAGTCAAATGTGTCATACATTGTTTTTTTAAGGCACTGGGTTGTAGTTGATTGTTATAAGTGGACATAAAACTTTCATTAGGGAAAAACTTAAACGACCTGGTTTTGTGATATATATATTTATGAAATATTCATTTATGGAACCACTTTTCAACTTCCAGTAAATGGGTTCAAAAGGCAAATAGATACTTCTGTAGGGTATAAAAGTAAATCTATCAAAATTAAGCAATTATGGTATTGTGGGGAAAAGCATCAATATATTTTTAACAGTTATATTTTTAACAGTAAAAATTAGAGCATCAATGTTAGGCTTTGTAAAGCTCAACTTGATATTTAAGTCTACTTCAACTCTTAATAAGTGTTTTCATATTTGCTGTAGTTCATATTTACAATTATTTTTATTAATCGTAGATCAATTTTATTGCTCTATAATTCTTCTTCATTGATGACTCTTGAAAAGTCATGGCTTCCTGAAGTTGGAGCCACCAGTCTTCTCTTTTTTGTTCAGCTGGGCATCAGCCACCATATAATATGCCCAACACTGGTAAAGTTGTCCGACTTTCCTGTACCCGAAAATTTCTTCTGAAGCATTATGAGGATTATATTATCATTTAGTCATGCAATATGTCCTTCCTATCTGTGATGAGCAATCTTTATTATATGCACACAACACAGTCATTATAGAGATCTATTAGCTCCAATTTTTTTTTTTCATCCTGTAATTAATATTTTTTTTTTATTTATACATCACTGAATGTATTGAAATGATAATGTTTTACTTTTTCTACGACTTTGAATTTTAGACTTATTGAATAGTATTAAAATAGATATTCAATACTGGAGTGGAGTCCACAGCTCATTTAAAGGACTTAATCTCTAATTACTGTTTCTGGTTTTAACACCTATCTTCCTAATACTGTACTGACCAAGCATAAATAAAACCTAAAAACCAGGTGGTTGCTTCGGTTATTGATGTTGCAGATCTTGAGTGGCGTGAACCAGCTCAACGGATCTGCTACAATCACAATGTACACAATAGACTTCTTAGGAGGAAAGTGGGTCGCAATCGAGATGGGCTTTATCACAGTGGCTGCTTCATTCTTCGGATCCATCCTCTCTGACCCATTTGGGCGGCGGCCCATGCTCATAGTCTCCCAGGTTGGCTGTGCCATTTCAACGACATTGCTCTTCTTCTACTTTCGTTTCAAGGATATAAAAAAGAGTATACTTCTTCTCTACTTTGGAGTCTTCGGTTTCTGTTTCATCAGTTCCGGAATATCATTTATAATGCTAACACTTCCATCAGAACTGTTTCCGACAAAGCTTCGGGCCTTTATCAATGGATTAACCCAGACAATTGATGGCATATCTTGCTTCATCGCCTTGAAGATGTTCTTCTCAATTAACTCGACTCTTGGAATTGGAGCCAACTTCATAATTTATACAGTGGTCTCAATTATTGGATCAATCACTGCAGTGTTCATTCCTGAAACAGCAAAAGTAAAAATTGTATTCAGTTGAAGTACCCTTCGATTAAATTCCGAATCACAAAGATGCCAAAGAACAAGTTCAGTGATGAAGAAACACAAGATTGACAAGTAATAATAATCGCTACTGATATATTAATGTTGGCATCCCTATCCAATCATAAACACACTTCAATTTCAAAGTTTATTTTTATATCTTAAAATATTATCCATTGTAAATCTAGCTCTTTACACTCATATACATATATGATTTTAAGAAATGTAACTCCAATGAATGAAAGAAATCTTATCTAGGGCATAATTAAATTATTTTCATTAAGATTTATTATCAATCTTAGATAAGTATGAAGTAATGCATTGATTCCATATAATTTAACTCATGGTTATTTTCTTGATAGACACTTGCAAACTGAAGATTTTCAAGTAATTCGCAACAAAGCAAAGGAAACATGCTTCCAGTATGGATACCATTCCATTTGAATTTGATATAAACACAACTGAATTTGAAAAAAAAAAATTGTAAAACAGATTGAAACATGTAGTATAGGAAATCTTTGATTTACAGGATCTCCCGGAAGCTTTATTAACTGATCCATTTCTTCAAAGTTAACATTATTAAAATTATAGAGTTACAGGAAAATCGTTCTCAGGCCTAAAACATTTAATATGATCACAATGGCCTAAAATATAATCAAGAAATATGTAACATGTAATAAATAAGAAGTAAGCAATATCAAACATGATGCTTTAACTGATGACCAAAATAAAATTAAAACAAATAAAAATGAGAGGATTTTTTTTTCTTATTATTAATTACACAATATTACAATTAGTATTTTTAGTAAAATAATTGGAATTTGAATGACTGAGAATAAATGAGGCTGTTGTAGTCAATACCAATGATAATAATAGGACAATCACAATAGTGTATACAATATAATTTCAAATAAAATATTTTTAAGAAGCAAAGCTTCAGCCCTACAGCCTTCTATCAGTCTGCTAGTGTTTCAATCCTACTATTGCTATTCTGTAAAATTATTTAAAGGTATCTTTAGTTTATTATTATGCTAGGTATTTTTTAAATATATATTTATTAAGAAATAATACATTCTACCTCACTTAAGAGCGCTAATAATTAGAATTATGTATGATATATACGTAATAAGACAATTATAAAAACAAAAGAAAAATTATGGTAAAAAAAATTAATAAAAAACATGAAACATTCATATTTAATTACAATTCTTACAGTCAGCTTAAGAAGCTCCAAGTCTGGCCCTTCCCCCCTGTATAGAGGACAAAACAAGAAAATATCCCAGAGCTTCTCTCTCAGCTATCACCAGTATGGGAATCCAGTGAAGACAGAGAGAGAATACTAAATCCACAGACACTAAGATGTCATAGTATAACTGAGTGGAGAAGCAGCCAACAGCCGGAACTCTAATGACATATTTATAAAAGACCTTGGCCCCAGTGCCATTTCATATTTGAAGGAGGATTGTAGAGATGACTGGACATGAACAGAAATAGTGCTCAGGGTTTCGGATTGTGGATAAGGTTTTGATGAAAGTTTGAGAATCTGGATGTAATAATGTTATAATATTGTGAAGTTTTGTTCATAATGTAATATGAAGCATTGCCTTTTGTATGTAGGACTTTAGACGTCTATAAGTCTGTATACCTTCCTATTCTCACTTACGGCAGAGAAAGTTGGACAATGTTGGACAAACATCATAGTTGCATAACAGCAGCGGAAATGCGATTCCTACATAGATTGGTGGACAAAACTAGGAGGGATCGCATTAGAAATGAAACTATCAGAGAACAGATGGAAGTGCCAGAACTCAAAACTACCTTGGAGAACAGGCAATTAAGGTGGTTTGGACATGTCTGCCGCATGAACGAGGACATGGACCCTATAAAGATATTAGAGGCTCGACCCATAGCGAAGAGGCCACGAGGGCATCCCAGAGTCTCATATCAGGAGTTCATGGAGAGAATCGGAGATAGAAGAGCCAAATCCTTCAACCAAATGAAGCGGTTAAGCGGAGACCGGGAAGGGTGGCTGCGTTGGATAGAGGCTCCTCGATGCTAGAAATGGCATTGTGAGGAAGACAAAGAAGAAGAAGAAGACTTTAGACTTGAAGGAATGAAGCTAGATATAAGTGATAGATGAGTTCTTTTAGTATAAGTTTTTAATTTTTGTAAACGTTTTCCATTTCTCACCATCACATTTAATCATCATGAGGTTCCTGCACATACTGAAAGGAGTAACTATACAAATTTCACTTTTATTACTATTATTTTGACTGAAAAGTGAATTTTATTAAATAATTAATTTGTATTTATACTTTTTACTCAAAGCCAAAAAATTTAAAAAAAAAATCTGAATATTTACACTAAAAATTCTTCATTTATTGGTGAAATAAGTCAAAAATTTTGCTGAAAGTAATTGCTGGAGTGCTGTGATCACTTGTATTTTTAATTGAATTTTTAGTATAGTTTAAAATATTTTAAAAAGTCGTGTTTTTAGTTCCTCCATAGGCATCAATTTTCCGATTAAGGAAGTTTTACCACCAATTTATGGCAAAATACTAGAGGAAAAAGTAAAATACGTATTTCAATTAACCTTTATTTTTAATTGAAAGGTTTTATAAAACTTATATTTTTAAAAATCCTTTTATTTTATTTCTTTTGAAGCACTTTCTTAAGCCAAAACGTCGATCTAAAAATTACTTTTATTCTTAGTTACTCAAACAAACAACAAATTAGGATTAATTAATTAATTTAAGATAAATTAAAACTGTGGTCTAAGTTCAAGTACTGTTTATTTCTCATTTAATGTTACATTTGCTAAGAACTTAAACAAATAAAAGTTAAAAATTTGTCATGAATCAAGAACTTTATTGTACAAAAGTTGCTTAGAATTTTAATTTAATTTTTTTCTATACAAATTCCACAAAAACTGTTTATAAAATTTCCATAAACATTTCAACCCATGGTCGATAATAAATCTGTAGCTCCACCACTACTTGTTTATTTAACTAATGATACTCTTATACTCATTCCTGTCATAAGATCCTGGAATTCCATATAATTTTGTTTAATTAATTTAATGGCAAAAGATTTTATTATAAATTTAATGCAATCGACCTTTAAAAATTCTGTCACTAATACGAAATAATTCTGGGAACTTATAAATAAATAAATTCAGGAACAAAAATTTAACATTGAAAGAAAAATTTCATGTGAGTAATGGATCAGGCACATTCGAGATTTGTTTCATAACCCTTTAATGGAGCAATATATTCAATATACTGCACCCTATGTTGAAAACGATTCTTTAGATAATCCATTTACTCTGGTAGAGCTATATGAAGTTTTGCATAAGGCTAAGTTAAATAAAACACCACTGACCGTATTCCGGTTGAGCTTTATAAATATGCACCAATATATTTTTTGGAGTACATGTTGAATACATTTAATAAACTTTTTAATTCAGCTAAGATACCTATTAGTTTTAAAAGTTCAACTATATTCTCCATATATAAAGTAGGTAATATTATTAATGTTACATAGAGGCATATTATTCAACAACTCGATTGAGAAAATTTTTACAGGGCTTATAAACCTAATAAGTGAATGGCAGACAGGTTTCCGTAAAAATTATTAAACCAATGATAATATATTTAATCTCATTAATATCATAATTTTGAATTTAAATATTAAATGGAGGAAAGTCCATGCATTCTTTGTAGATTTCTCATCAGTATTTGACAATGAGGACAGAAACGCATTTTTTTAAGTTTATAAAATTCATATAGTTTTATATGGAGTAGCAGTTTCCTAAAAGATTATAAATTAATTAAAAGCATTGTATGATGATACTGAAGGCTCAATACGGATAGGCATTAACGAACAGTTTTAAAACAGAGAGAGGACTAAGACAGGGATGTATTATGAGTCCATTTTTGTTTTCCTGCTATATCAATGATTTAGAGAATTGTTTGGGTATGGATTATCTATTAATACCAAAAGAATTAAAATGTAAGCATATGCAGATAATATCGTAATTTTGGTCACAAGGCCCTTTAGTACTTCGAGAGATGATAAATACTTTAGAAATATATTGTAGGACGTGGAATTTAAATAAATCTAAAATTATGAAATTTAGAAAAGGAGGAAAACTGGTTAAAAAATGGAAAATGGAAATTTAATAAATAAACTATACACATAGTAAACTGTCATAAGTATTTAGGGAAATTATTAACACCAAATTTTTTCATTTTCATTTTCAACTAAAAGCTTCTAAAAAAACGGTCAGTATTAATGTCTTATCGAAGAAGCTATTTATGTACAATAAAGTAAATTTGAATGTTAAGCTTAAAGTTTTCAAAGCTGCAATTAAACCACTTTGTAGGTTACGGAGCACAGGTGTGGGGAGATTGTGAATATAAAGAAGTTGAAGAAGTTCAATACTATTTTATTAAAAAAGTATTGAATTTGTCCCGATATACACCTGCATACATTATACATATAGAAACATAATTAACATCGTTGTATCTAAAAAATATAAAAGCGCACCATAATTATATATGTAGAGTTATGCAGTGTATTCACATAACAGGTTACCCAAAATTATAGCAAAAGAAATA